TCTGTGAGAAAGATATATGAATGTCACTGTGTCAGTGTTTTGTATCTTATTTGCAGCAATATTAGTGTCCTGCCCCCCCTTGAAGGTGAAGTTAATTTTATTTTCTATATAGCGGCAGATCACAACACAGAAAAAGGCATGATGAAGTCATACCAGCATTTTCAGAGCAATTCTTCAGCAATCAGCATCCACACACATTTTCTTCAGGAAATGCATTTGTCTAGTTTGTTTTGTTTTTTATTTTTACCCCAGATCCATATCCAATACAACACAACCTACAGATAGGCTACTCAATTTTGTCATCGTTGTTAACTATGGGACCTTTAACATACATGTTGTAAGGTAGGATAAATGAAGAAGGAAGCTGGTTATAGAATTAGCCTTTTTGTTGCTGACCCCACAGTGCACCTTTTATTATCAACACAAACACAATTATTTACATGATGGACAAAGCCCATTAGTCCTACCAGAACCCTGTCTACTTTGGCTTATTTTAAATTCAGCAGGTTATTACAATTATATGCACAGTTTTGTTAAAATTATTTGTATCCACTCTAAGGTCTGATCATGAAATCTTAACACTATAGTTTCTTGATGGGAGAATAAAGTTAAAGGAGATAATGTTTTTTAGATAACTACCGCCACCTAATGGATATCAGTGGGGATGTCTGTGTGGGAAGACGGTATGCAGTTCAGACTATCTTAGTCTACTGTAAAACGTTTTTTCCACTTTTACTGCACTCTTATTCACATTGTATTATTTGTAAAGGTGATCCATATTAGCAATACTTGCATAGACTATAATAAGTAGTGATGCATCAATATCACTTTTTTTCTGGCCAAATACATTTGAGTACCAATACAAGTACTTCATAATAATGCAGTGTTTCTACCACAAAAATTACAATTAGACTACTATTTAAAAAACAGTTTATATTTGAATGTATTTTACCTTCTGATTGTGACTAAATTATAACAGGAGGCTGTGCAAATTTGAAAACTGTGAAAATCAGTCAGTTCATTCCAACTGAACTGACTTAAAATCCATAGCCTATTACATAACATACTGTAATACAGTGGCTTTTAGCTCAACCCTCTGTCAGGACAAAACTATTTCACAACCCCTGCCCAGAGAAGCAAGTTTGGGGAGCATATAATATCATAGTCTGCAATTTAAATGTTTACTTTAGCGAGGGTACATGTCCTTACTATAAACAGGTGACGGTTTGTGGCTTCACGCTGTCCTCTCTGCTGGACACACGCCTGCACTGCTGTAGAGGAGCTGCGGGTCTCAGCCTGCACATCCACAAGGATTCAACTCATTTTATACACAGAGCTCATCGGACTTCGCTGTTAACTATATAAAATGAGGTTAGCATGTAATGCTGCTGTTAAGTGGCATTGGTGCGAAGTATCAGACAACTTTTATGAGCACTAGTACAAGTACAGAATATTCATGTATTGAATCTGTAATAGTAAATCTGAGGTTGGTCACACTATTGAGCAGCAAAACCTCATTAACCAGAGTAATGAATCTGCATGGTGGCACCACACAGTTGAAAGAAAAATCCAGTTCAACCTTTATTTAGGTTTATATGCATGTTTTTCTAAAATTTAAAAGACAGTATATATAAATTTTGGTACCAAATGAGATCATCTTTGTCCTGTTCAAGATATCAGATATAAAACATATAGATCTTTTCGCTCATTCACGTTGGTCTTTTTTGTTGAGACTGAACCTGGACAGACATTTGTCTTCTCTAATTTAAAATACTTCTCAAGGGCCATCTTGACAAAACAGTTTCATAAACCAACTCCAGATTTTTTTGACAAACAGGAACCGCAGCAGCCAAATGATGCAGAATTTTTAGAATGGGGATCACTTCTAAATAAATAAAACAGCTTTAACAAAAGATTTTATTCTCATGTTCTTGTGTAAATAAATTACAATGTTGTCTTTTCTTACAAAAATAAAATGAAACCCAACCAACACACTGGGCTCATCCAACTGAAGAATATGAATCTTTTTTTCCTCTAGAAATGTTTTTGTCAACACATTGTCTTACAAATGCTTTAACCAAAGTGTTAATTTTCAGGGACTGAATCTTTGTCCCCAGGGCTTAATGTTCCATCTTCTGTGGCCTGCTCTGATATATGGGTCAGCAAACACACAACAAGGCTACAAACCACAGAAGGTCACAAACAACACAAACAAAAAGATCCAGATAAAAAAAAGAAAAAAAAAGAAAATATTCATGCAACAGATGTTGGGACAGTTTCTTCACCATGAAAGCTACACCTGAGACAAGTTGACAATTACCATAAAACAAAAACCTAATTCCTGTGTACCAACAGATAGAAAACTGTTTTTTTTAATAGATGATTTTATGATACAAAATGTTACATATTATAAACTGATACTAAAGGTGAAGTCAACTCTGACTGATACACTGGTGATAAAAAAATGCTAACACCAACTTAAAGACACTAAAAAACTAAATTCAGTGCAAAAAGCACAGTTTCTCTCAACTTCTCCCAGGACCATTTCTGCAGAGGACGATCCTGACAAACATCACAGCACAAGGAAACACCAGAGTTAATGTGATCTTCATGTACTGAAGGAGCAATCACTCTGAATACCTACATGTGTTGTTGAAGGTGCAACACTGTCTGTCAGTGCTGGTTTTTCATCCCCTGTGGTTTGCCTGGTTTCTTATCCTGTTGCTGCTGTTGCCCCCGACCAGTGCTGCTCATTCCTCTGCCACGGCCGCCAAACAGACCTAATGTAAGACAGGTTGATTCTGAGTGTCTAGGATGTGAGAGTGGAGCTCCATAAACAAAAAAGCTTGAGCCTTCATCCTGCTTGTTTGTCGAAACATTTCATCTTTACAAATAAATTTGTAAACTGAGCAAATAGTATAGAGACATTTTGTTTCTCCCACTTCATACCAAGAAACAAGTTTTGCATGTAATGTATTGCCATCTGCCTGGAGCGTTAAGGATAAAGGCCTGATCATTTTATGAAAACCTGACTCACAGATCTGCAACATCACAGAAGCAGCCAATATGCAGAAGTGTGTGCAGAAAAAAGCAAGACAATAAACAAATGTGGACTGTTTTCAGGTCATAAAATAGGTTTTTAAAACTTATTTTTTTAACTGTCCTGAATATAATCAAATGTACAGCTCAAGTACATTTGCCCTTTAAAGATGTGCTGGCCTTTTTGCCCCATCAGATACTTGACAGGAAAAACCTATTCACAAAAAATGTTTGGCTAAATTTGTCTTTCACATAATTTTATCTAAGAGTATTGAAAACATGACACACCCACAGAATGTGGAGTGCAGACCACTAGGATGTACACCATCATTCAAGTCTGGTAAAATACCTCATACTGTATCTATAACATGTTAATTTCAGCAAATACCTTGTCTTTAGCTCACTGACATGCATTTTTCAGTGATATGGTTTTAATCAGCCTAATGACTGCAGCAATTCTTCAACAGAGGCTAAAACAAAAATCTCTGGAGTGACCTGGTTTACAGTTAGCACTGATGATATAAATACAAGCATTTTTATGTTTAATGTACAAATGTTTGGGGGAAATCCTCTAGTGCTCCTGAGAGTGTGGCCTTTACATCAGAATAGAGATCTGAAAACAACCTGTCACAATAGCAGACACAAACCATCTCCTCTGCAGCAGTGTACCTGGTCAGCAGGGAGCATCTCCACTCACCTCTGCCTGCTCCTCCTCTCCCTTTACCCTGCTGTTTGTTCTGCTGGGTGCCTCCCCGCCCGCGGCCCTTCGACACCACCTCGTCCTTCACCATGTCAATGATCTCGTCTGGGATTCTCAGATACTTGATGGTGCTCCCTCTGATGTAGCACTCAGGCATCCTCCAGAACTTATCTCCATCCTGTGACAGGGAAGTGGGGTTGTCAACGGATCCAAATCATAAAGAGAATTTCACTATGACAACAAACTGGCTGCTTTCTGTCAGAAGTCAGTCTCTCTTTTTATTTTCTGTAGTCCCAAATTATCATAGGCCAAAATACTGTAAAACTTTGTTTCTGCCTGTTACATTGGCATAGAGATGCCTCTAGACTGCTGCACAGCTGCACCATGTGCAGACAACAGTTTTACCCTTGAGGTGCAGATGACTTCTCTCAGGTTGATGTTCATCCAGTTGTCACAGCTGACCAGGTGGCCATTGTATGTCTCTCCGTTCTTCAGCTCCACCAACTAGGCAGAAAAAAGAAACAGTGACACAATGTGAGATAGATCACGTGGCTAGACCTTAAGTTGTCTTATAGTATAACCCTCAGCAAACCTACAAACAAGATAACATTATTATAAACTCCACAGTTTCAGTTACAGTCCCAGCAAAGTGAACTTCAGATGGAAATGTGGACATTTAGAAAGCAATTGAGATTGCAGGTAGGTTATTAAAATGGAAATATTTTTTTAAAATAAAAAGAAGAACGAACGAACGAACCAGGGCTGCACATCAAACATGACACATCATAGTCAGACAACATAAATGAAGCCCAAATGAAGCAAAGAGGGGTTGAGCTAACTGCTTGCAAGTTGTTCTTAAACCACACATTTATTAGCTGACAGAATAACAGCAATACAAATGCTAACATTTACTGCTTACGACTTTCGATCACATAGTCACTTGCTTTAACGTTAACCTACTGTTTTCACATAAAATCGTATTAAAGATGGTTTGCACAGTGCTAGGATTGTAAGCTGTTTATACACACCACTTTCTGATCTTATACTTTGAAATACATTGTTTTATTATGTTTAACACTATACTAAATACTGGTAATAAATCTGTGGATAAGCGGCTCTTCGACATCAGAGAGAGTTGAATATCCTCACCATGGGGTGGTTCTGGGCAGTCTTCAACAGAGAAAGGGGAAGCTGCATAAAGACAGAAAATCGGGTCAACCGGAGGAATTCACGTATTTTATACTTAGAAGCTCTGTGACGTAGCTGTATGTTAACCGATGTGTGTAAAATGCTGTATAGTAGCTAACTAGACATAGTTAGCTTAGCATACAGAGCATCATTATACGCTAGCGCTGCACTGCTGCGTTACTGAGTAACAGGCCTACTAGTGAAAATCTAAAGGACAAACAGAACCATTTTATATGTACATCACAGTTATATACCTACCATTGTGATAGATTTTGTTTCTGACTTCCAGTCGCTCTTGGACCTTCACACTCCGAAAGTTCTTCTTCGTGTTCTAATGAATATCCGGGGCCGCCAAAAATCACGGATGTATGCTGCCCTCTGCAGTCAGGGGCAATCGTTGTGCAACATCTATAAATCATCAGGTAGAGCGGGTATCAGGGCCGGCCCGTGGCATAGGCAGTATAGGCAAATGCTAAGGGCGCCGTACATCAGGGGGCGCCAGAAATGGAGGAAGAAAAAAAAGTGTAACTTCCACTATTCTTAAAACTAGACTTCAGAAAAGAATAAGCCCACCACATTAATTTAACTGCATAGCAGCAAAGCCTACTAAGTAGTAGTAGTA